GCCAAGTTTTCGAGGTCACCAGAAATTCATTTCAGTGGTTTGAAGTAGCTGCAAATTGTCCGAATCTTCCGTATCACTTTAATGATCAAAAATTTCCTCTAGCTATCAGAGTATCGCATTGTTATCGGTTCGAAACTCTCAGTTCCCAATTTTACCATCCGCCAGCAATTCGACTGCAAATCTTTAAATGCTTTCGTCGATTCATTAAAATCGAAATAATTTCCAGCTAAAAAGCAAAATAGATGCAGAGTGCGAAAAGCATTCTGAACGTGTCATGTGGTCATTCTTCGTTGCAATGGGTCTACAAACGGGTATTTTCGCAAGGTTGACCTGGTGGGAGTATAGTTGGGACATAATGGAACCGGTCACTTATTTCGCAACTTATGCCACTGTCATTGCTACTTACGGGTATTATTTGTATACGAGACAGGTGCGGTTCGTTTCCAGTTGAATTTGATTTGTTATATGATTTTGTGCGGTTTCGTATCGATTTTAGTGAGCATTTTTGAGTATTCACATTTGAAGCGATTGATTATTTTTAGGAATTTGAATATTCGACAATGCGAAATCGTTGCTATACGAAGTACTTTTATAAAGTCGCCGAAAAGTATAAATTCAATGTTGAGAGGTGATTCATATTACGACATGTGTTATTATCATTTTACTGACATTACTATTGTCACTTAATGTGTCTTTATGAGTGAATCTTATTATTTTCATTTCGATTTCCATATATCTTTTCAGATACAACGAGCTTCTCGACTTGACGGATGGTATCCGAAAAGATTTATCACGACTTCGTGATCCACTCTATCAGCATTTGCCAGCCACACATCTTGCCTGGGCTCTTAAAGATGCTTCTTCATCTCGACTCAAGTCTCAATCCGAAATGAGCCCCGATCCCGCGGTGCAATCCTCAGCTGATGATCATCAAAAATCTTGACCTTTCATTTGTTTTATGAAGCTTTCACCAATAAAATCATTTTATTGCAATTGAGTGATGCGTTGTGTAAATTCTCATTGATACTCCAAGTTGTTTGTTTTTAATGTTAATTAAACAAAGAAACTTTCATGCGAGAACCTGGTGATATCGTAATAATTATTAGATGAAAATTCGCTTGTTATAATCATTGTTACTTTTGTTTCCATTCCTCATTACCTGCCATTTTCTAAAAACTAATTGGAGTTAAAGTGAAATGATTAGTGTTTGGTCTGTGATATACCCAAATATAAGAATTCCGTTTCGACTGGCTTCTTTAACTTTAATTTGTTTTTCTTTGTTAGTTTTGCTGATTGTTGTTGAAATGTTTGCTTCCTTGTTGAATTGCCATTGATAGTATGAATATAATACATAATAAATTACTTTTAAATTCGTTACAAGTAAATTTATTATGTCATTTTGATGTTAATTGTGAGCTTGTTTCGCATTTATTGCTCATTGTCTCTTCGAAGATTTCCTTGTTGAAAGCTTTCAGTGAGATTGCCCATCTCTACTATATGACAATGCATTGCTTTGTGTAAAATAAATGAAAATTTATGAATTTATTCGTTTTCCTCGTAATATCAATTGGATAATTTCGAAGAATGAAAGTATGGATATTCCATAATCGTATCAATTTGAAATATAATTTACAATGGAGTTCGCCAGCATCAAAAACGATTCGTATGCGGCTGAAGCTGAGGCAGATAAACAGATAGATGAAAATAAATATTGAGGTTGTATCGCTCGAATTGTGCTTGGTTAATATTACTTCTTATGGGATTTCAAACGGCTTAACCAAGAACTATTTTTCTTCTTTTCGGTCGGACTTGATAATGGTTTTGGTAAACGACTCCTCTCGGAAATGACACACTTCGGTTGGGGACTCTCCTCTCGAATCGGTCTTATTTGGTCGTGATTTCGACGCATCTGAAGACCATCCGATGTGATCAGTGGGGATGATGAGGTATTACTGTTCGGAATCTGAGGATTTCTTCGCTGAAAATGAAA